GACAGGTGGTGTTTAAAAATACTTAGTTCTGCTGTTCCCAGACTGGAAAATGAATGAAACTGAAAGCAATACATTAGGAACCATGTAAAGCCAACATTGAAAAAGGCTAAATAGTGTTGTAAGGAGATGAGTGTTTTCACAGGTGTTGTAAACGTTTTTTTTATTTTCAGTTCTGTAATTATTCACCATGTTCAGTTACAAATAAATGATTTTTCTTGACATTAAGCAGGGATATTTAATGTCATTAAAACAGAAAAACTAAATGGATTCTACAATACACTGACCTAAATGAATACATTCCTATAGCACTTTCAATTGCCTCTTTGGTAGTTAATGGATTTTGTATATTTATGATCAGTTATTGGGCAGAAACTCATGCCAAATAAGAAATGTATTAAAGCTAACTTAATGTAAAATGTCACTTTATGTGTTCGAACAACTCCCAACTAGTTTGTTCATTTGCAAAGGAAATTAATCTTAAAACCTTTGTTCTTCTCAAAAGCATATGTGTTAAATGGCTAAAAGATAATATAGCATATCTGGAGGGTGCTCTTCTCACCGTAAGACATGGAGTTAAGAACCATTCAATATATTTTTTCTCCATCTCACAATCAAGAGGTAATTGGACTGTTTGGGAAATAAATTCATTTAGCTTTGCATAACTGCCTCTGACAAAAAAAAAAATCATACAACAGAACATTTTGAATGCTGAAAAGATGTGCACTTCAAACAACCCTGTCTCCTAAAAATTACGTTCCCACCGAACTAAACTGCATTCTCAATTACGTTTCGCTAGAAACAAATTTTCTCCCACGTTACGTTTGATTTGCATGTAACTCAAATACGTTTATTTTCTACCTATCTTTGCCATTTATTGTCTTGCTTATATTAATGATAATAGTAATTTATTAATATCATTTTAGAGCAAACTTATTTTCGGGCTGGCGGCTCACTGTTCAGTTGACCAAATCCGTTATTATGCTGGTTAATGGGTAAATAATCACAATATTGTCTGTAGTCGTTTCATGTCTTAACTACACACTTTTAAATTGTTATCATCCAAAAAGCCTCTTTCGCTGGTACATTAAGGCACTGTGGGTTATTCAAAACCATTCTATTTATTCTAACGTAAATTACATGCCAGTGTTTTATCTTTTTATTTAGCGATTTGTTATTGCATGTTTAACTGGGAATGTTTTCATGTGGAACTGGAAGTACATCACTTGACTGCGACTTCTTCGTCCCTTTTACGTTCCAGACAATGCATGGCTCAGCGTAACAGACAGAACAGCGACCCCAGGTGTGTCTACATTGGAATTACATCTTCATTACTGAAGGAAAATACTTTACCTAAGAGGTTTCTCAATACTCAAATTTCGACTCCTCGACTCCTCGGACGAATTAATTTCAGCGCGCCATTTTGAAGGACATCTCATTTCTTAAATGCACATCGAGGATCGAGCGTCAAGGAGGCTCTCTGGAGGAGCTATAACCGAGGATACACTGATGGTTCCTCCGCGGATGCATTTCTGGGAACGGCGGAGGCGTGACGCACGGCCGGACTTATCTCAGCCAATGACAGCTCTGCATGCATCCCCTGGATATTATTTTAGTAACTGCTTTCATCGCGACGCAATGTTTACAGTGAGAAAAGCTGCGAGGTCCGAAAGCAGAGCAGTGTGTACTAGACTTTTGGGGGCCCTAAGCGAGCTTTGGCTTGGGGGCCCCCTCACTCTAGCGCGTTCTCACTACACACAACACAGAACCAACTTTTGTCTTATGATGTTAGCATAAGCACACATATTGTATAAATAAGAATGTAAACACTGTGGACCTAACCTCCTGTAGGGGGGTCCGGGGGCATGCTCCCGGATTTTTTTTAAATATTGAAGTTAAAAGCATCTGGTGCACTTTGAGAGCAAAATTAATCTCTTAACACCCATATGAAACAGAACTGTAAACAGATTTTTCTTAATGGATATTTTACAAATCACTCCCCTTTTAAACTGTATTCTTGTTTTACTGTCATATAGTGACTGTTTTTCATTTATTCTCTCTGGCTGTCCATCTCATAATGTTCACATAGAAACTAGCTGTCAATAGGAAATATCAATCAGAAGAATTATAATTTCATGCAAAAATCTGTCACAAAAAGAGGTTGCACATTTAAATTCAGTTGTTGTTATGGCAACGTCAGTGGCCAAACAGCCACATTTACTGCTGCAAATACGTTCAAACATGCTGTCGACACGTAAAGCAGTGGCAACTATGCCACCATTTCAGCTGACTTTTTCTCAGAAATACTGTCACATAACATCCATATATTTCAGTGCTAGGTTGATGCTTAGCTAAGATAACTATGAAACCTGTTAAACCCAACACATCCTCACTCCCAGGTCGGCCTATGTTGACGTTATGTCAAGTCCCCTGTCGGCTTTTTCCAACGCAAGGGGGGGGGCCTTAGCGTCCATTTTCAACGCAAGGGGGGGGCCCTTAGCGTCCATTTTCAGCTTTCCGGGATGTCCATATGCTTCTATGGACGCTCATGGAAGCACGGCGTTCGTTTGTGTCGACTGCCCTTAAAGGCAATGTGAGCGTCCATTCTCATTGGATAACGGAGAATTGTACACCCGGAAGTAAGTATTCCCCTTACTGTCGATTGATTTTACAGTGATGTCTGCACTACTCATCGACTAAAAAACACCAGATTATCCTTGTTAATTACACAACATTGATTGGTTTAAATTGTGTGCAATGCTTTTGTATTTTTCCCCTTCGATTCGGAGAAACAAATATTTTTTCGGAGTAAAGGATGGCAGAAGACACTACACTACCCAGAATCCCCAGCTATCGTTGGACTACACCATATGCTCTGTTTGACAAACCCCGTGATAGTCCTCAAGCTCTGTGATTGGAGAGTGTGCTCCGAGGGTTACGCCGAGCCTCGAATATGGGCATATGTCTCATAATTATTTGTGTGAACATAAAAATAATTTGTGTGTAAATATGTGATTTGTATACGGAATTTTGAGACATATTTTCCGCCGGTCTCGGCTCAAATCTACTCGTGTCACTCGGTTATTTTCGGAAACCACGTGATGAACAGCGGAACGTTAGATGCATTCTTCATCATCATCATCATGTTATAGTGATACAGTTAATTTGGTTCAATGGTTCAATATAGCATATAGCCTAACGAGCACTTTCGTTGATGTTGAAGTGCAGGCTATACGCCACTTTCGGGTCCCGGGGGAGCAGCTGGCAGCGAAGCAGCCCAGATAAAACTCTTTCTTCATTGTTTGTTGTGTATTCAGTCAAGCGGGTCGAAGTTACAAAGCACTTCACATCTTATTAATCGGCCTAATTTTACCTTACCAGTGCAGTAATAAAGTAATCTGTAGAAAAGCACCGTATTTAGGTCAGGGTTATGGTGATGAAGAATGCATCTAACGTTCCGCTGTTCATTATAATACAAAAACACAGCATTAAACAAACCATCATGCTCTTACTTTGAAATCATGCGGAAATGTCGTCATCAGCAGGCCATCACGTGGTTTCCGAAAATAACCGAGTGACACGAGTAGATTTGAGCCGAGACCGGCGGAAAATATGTCTCAAAATTCCGTGTGTGTAAAAAGACGATCCGCGAACAGAGATTTGAGATCCGTGAACAGATATTTGAGATCCGCAAGCGCATTTTTGGTCCACAAATACAAAATGGATTCACAAATGCCTGATCGAAAGGTGTAAATGTTAAAGAGATATTCACAGATCTTTTTTTTATTTGTGAACATATTTAGCGTATTTGCAGATCCGTTTTACACTTGCAAATGTATTTGTGAGTTTGTAAATCTTTTAAATGCATTTGTGGATGTTGTTTTACATTTACAAATCACATATTTACACACAAATTATTTTTATGTTCACACAAATAATTATGAGACATATCTATGCCCATACTCGAACAGCACTTGAAATGGGATGGAATCACGGCAGACTGTCCAAAACTGGATTTGAACGGGTCCACCGCGTCCCCCCTCCCCCACCCCGTCCCCAGAACTACACATGCTGGCTATTCTGTTTCGCAACATGTTCTCTATCTATGGCACGTCTCTACTGGGAGTTGTAGTTTTAAAAGACGTTTTCGTATTTCCCATAATAAGAAGTTGCCAGTATTAAACTGTGTACATCCCTGGAGGTTTAGGGGATAGGAAACACTCACATTTAAAACATATAGGCCTAATTAATAAATGGGTGAAAATTGCTTGTGCCCATAATGGGCAGCATTAATATATATCAACACATCCTCACTCCCAGGTCGGCCTATGTTGACGTTATGTCAAGTCCCCTGTCGGCTTTTTCCAACGCAAGGGAGGGGGGCCTTAGCGTCCATTTTCAACGCAAGGGAGGGGGCCCTTAGCGTCCATTTTCAGCTTTCCGGGATGTCCATATGCTTCTATGGACGCTCATGGAAGCACGGCATTCGTTTGTGTCGGCTGCCCTTAAAGGCAATGTGAGCGTCCTAGTGTAGTGGAAGAGGCTAATCTTGCTTCTCATCATCAGAGGAGTCAGTTTCATCAAGGGTGAGACAGATCTCCCCATCCCACACTTCCTCCTCTCCTTCATTGTCTTCCTCCAGTAGGGCAGTGGGGTCCATCAAAAACATTCCTGCATATAAAAGCATTAATTATTGTCATGGCTAGTAGCCTATCCAGGTTCTTAGTCTTTATGACAGCTTTGGAAAGTTTCACATTAGACAAATCTAAATTGTTGCCGGAAATGCATCCACGGAGGAACCGTGGAGGACTCATCAGTGTATCCTCGATTATAGCTCCTCCAGAGAGCCTCCTCGACGCTCGATCCTTGGTCCTCGATGTGCATTTAGAGAAATTAGATGTCCTTCAACATGGCGTGCTGAAATAAATTTCCGGGTCACTACCGAGGATTCGAGGAGTCGAGGAGGGGAAATCTTTGAAATGAGAACGGGCCCATCACTGTCTGTACACAGAAATACTAGTATGGTCTGTAAATATTTATCACAAGTATCCTGAATTCTAAATGTTACTTAAGGAGTACATAAGTATTGTTAGCTTAATGTACTCAAAATATCAAAAGTACACAGTATGTGGCATGGCTCTTTTCACAGTTTTCAATTATCATAGAATATTGTATTAAACTGTTTTTATCACTAACAAGAACATGGAGCAGCATGTTGCTATCAGTGTTGAGCCAATGTTTATTTACTTGTATTTGTATACTAGGTTGTATTTATATATTAGTAGAACAGTAGGCCTACCCTATAATATCAGTCAAGTATGTCACATGTTTTTATATGTAACTATTAGTGTGAAATAAATGTAGCAGGTAAAAAGTCCAATATTTCTTTAAAAAATGTAGAGGAGTAAAGTCTAAAGTAGCATTAAACTCAAGTACAATTATCTCTATATAATACTTGAGTATAGTACTTGAGTAAAACTACTTAAATAATTTCCACCACTGGGTATTGCTTCCGTTGTTGGTATAGGATGTGATTTTATTCTCAAACTATCTTTATTGATTCATTTAAAAAATAAAATGTCACTTAATATTGTGGAGATGACGCTCTTACTCTGAAAAACCAAGCGGAAGTGCTTGCAGGGCTGTGAGGTAAACAAACCACCGGAAGCCATTCGATGTTAGCCCAGACATGGCACTGGTTTTCAAGCATTTTTACTCAAAATGACAGGTATGTTAAGCAGTTAGTATTTTTCAGCGTGTTAATTGTGGTGTCGTTTTCAGTTCTATGAATTATTTGAGATTTTCACAGTTTTATCGAGCTAACACCAGTTTAGCTAACAGCTAGCTAATCTATGTAGCTAAAGAAAGGAAGACATCGGAAACCACGCTAAGCTACACTTCGTCGACATGAACATGACTACACTCATTTAGTTATAGGTGGACAACCCCTACTATGACTATACATGTTAGGTTATTTTGTGCATACTAGTTAGCTACTTTCCTTTTTATTTAGCTGGTGAATTGTGTGTTAATGTTTTCCAGTGGTGTGTAATGTAGTGAAGTACATTTACTCAAGTATTGCACTTAAGTAGGTTTTTTGGGGTACTTTTACTTCACTTAAGTATTTTTTATTTAATGCTACTTTAAACTTCTACTCCACTACAATTTGGCAGCCAATATTGTACTCTTTACTCTACTACATTTATTTGACAAAATACGTTTCTAATTACTTTACAGATAACTAATGGATAAACTATGCTATAAGTATACGATAAGATGTGAAGAAGCAGTATATCAAGTAATTAAAAGTCGCGCCACCTTTACCAGCTATGATAAACACATTAAGCATAAAAGAAAGTCACTTTATAAGTACTTTTGTTTTTTTTATGCCAATACTACATTTTAAATGCAAGACCTTTACTTGTAACAAATACTTTTTACACTGTAAAACTTGTGAAAAACTTCCTATTTGCCTATCGAGGCACCACAAGAGGTAAGTGACACAAACATTGTTAAAAAAAACTCAAAGTTTGTTAAAGCCCCTCTTCACCTCTAATTGATGTAATGGAAATTGCTGTGTAGCCGTGGCAATACAACGTGTGAACAATAAAAAGTGCCCATCTCTGAGATAACAAAAATACATACACTGCTTAATCAAGTATGGATCAGGTAACAGTATGGATCCAAAAATATGAACACACTAGGGTACATTTCTCAATGTCCCATTTTTTTGTTGCATTATATGTCCCGTGAGGGAGTTGTTTTTGTTACTTTGCTTCAGCAGAATGATGTATACCCAGACTTTGACATTTATCAAATCAAGTTTTATTTATATAGCACATTTATAAACGATTTTTGGTTGAGCCAAAGTGCTGTACATATAATAAAAATAGCCTACAGTAGAGACACTTTACAGCAAATACAACAGCACAGATTGTTCAGAATATCAGTATGAGAAAAACGACACCCTCTGTCCTTAGAGTTTCTCAGTGCTCACCTAAAATATACAGCTGCATACACCAAGAAAGTACTTTTCAGTAGGTAGAGACATCTTAAGTAGTTAAACTGAAGTTATTTTGACAAGATAGTTACTGAATTAATCATTTTGTGTTTTATCTTGTGAAATATGAGGATTGTTTTGTTGTTATATTTCCTATTCTGATAATATAGTATCTTTCTGTATAAATAAGTCATTTGAAAGATCCCTCTTTGGCCCTAGAAAATTGCAACATGCATTTATTAGAACAAACCATCAATGAAATAATCACAAAACGAATTGCAGCCCTAAAGAATAAAGTGGATGCCGAATAAAATGGAACTTTTGCATAGTTTTGTTGCAGTGTTATGGAAGTTAGGTGAGCTAATGTATCATTTTTTTCCTGATCACATTAGCATCAAAGACTCCATCTTTAAAGGTGGAACAGCTATTTCACTTTTTAGAAAGAAGCCGCTCCTCTGTTTAACTGATCGTATTAATCTGTGAGAAAATATAATGTCACAGCAGTTAATCATTAGAAGCCCTTGTTAAAGTTCTGCTATTAATGTGTGATTTGTAGCCTATTGAATCTTTTTCTTTTGTATGTTGTTTCGCTCGGCTAGGACTTGTTTCCAAGGAAATATAAGACACCAGGCAACACATTTGGATGTTTACGGGGGATGATGGATAACCACAAGAGTCACGTACCCTGTCAGTCGTGGGCCGGCCAGCATGGCTGGTCCTCTACTTCAACTCAAGGACCCCTCCTCGACACTCTGCCCAGCTCTCAGCATCAACACCTGGGCTCATCGTCTGACCAGAGGCCCTTCTACCAGCACCAGCAGGAGTCAGATCAGAGTTGTATGAGAGACCCCGGCACCATATTATCCGGAAACACCACTCACCACTCAGCTCTGTACAAAGCCTCTCACATCAGCAGCAATCCGTCATCAAACACGCTGTTTGCCAACACTGCCACCCCGAGTTCCTCTCACATGAATCCCTTTGCCCAGCAAAACCCTCACACCTCACCAATGCTGCTCAGGGCAAACCAAGGAAAAAACATCCTCCTACCATCTCTCCAAACAAACCAATCTCCACAGCCTTGCGGGCCCCAACATCCACCGCTGCTATCCCCCCACGATCTTTACAAAGCACCATTTCAACCTCTATTAACCAATCAGGGTTTACCCGACGGACTTTTGCCCATTAGCCTGCCACCATGTGGACAACATGTAAGTACATCTCAAGCTACTTTTGAAGGAGTGCATGCGGAGTTTGCTGGTGTTGCTGGATACACTCATAGCCATGCTTCATCCATGTCTCAGGAGCAGCGTCAGTGGATACCTTCGTCAAACTGCATGGGTAAGCTTTTTTTGTATTAGCCTTTGTTGTCCTCTAGTACATTTGTCCTGTTTTGGAGGAGGGTTAAACATGTCGGGTTGGATTTGTCAAAATATGTGTTTGGTACTTTAGCTGGTTTGTTGCTTATCCTTGGTATACTGCATTCATAGCCATGGACTGTCGAATGTTGTGTCACCCGTCTCTATCTCTTCTCCAATTCAACACTGTCCTCGTCATCAAAAAGTGAAAATGCTAGAAAGATACTGAAAGTAAAGTTTTTGAAAATGCACAACTTTAAATATTCTAAAGAGCGGTATTGATTTACATTTTGCGTCTTTAAATTTGATCAGTATGAATAAAGTAGTGATTCAATTTCACAATTAGGCAATCATTTGTTTAAAAGTTCAAATATTGATTCTCATTATTTTCTTACATATTAACGGCCCCCTATTAACGCAACTGAACTGATGTACAAAGAGTTCGTGGTTATGGGTAATCAGGCAATATGAACAACTGACTTTACAAAAAAACCACATGTGACCACACTGTAATGTCAGTGCTGTAATACCGTTCATCATACAACTTGCGTGTCCTTTCCTCAGGAGCTGTACACGAGTCAGTCCCTGGCGCTGCTCTCCCTAACAACGTGCCATCGCAAGAGGGAAACATGAGCTCACCGGTGAGAAAATGAACACCACCAAAATGTATTTGAAAATAAGGTTTTGTTGATTGTTGGTCTTTTTTGTACCCATCTCGACTGTTGTGATGGTTTTCACATGCTTCATGATATCTAGCTGTTTGTTTCTACAAAGGTTGATGGTACACATTGTTAGTTACTAAGCATCTACCAAATAAACGTTGCCCAACTTGCTACCATCATGATATTTACGGTTACAGATATGTGGGGTTTCTTATGAGGACTCGTTAGATTGTATATTTTTAAATGAACATGTTTTATCTTCTCTTAGGCCAGCTATGAGAGACAACGTTCGGTGCTTTTGCAACAGCGGGCACAACTTCTTCACCAAGTGGCACAGTTGGATAAACTTGTAAGTGTGTTATAGATAAACACTTGGATAGTTGCTACACTGTTCAACTTTAAAATGATATAATACTTTAAATTGTGAATGGATTTGATTCCTGAAATATAGTTTATAAGAGATACTTCCTGTTGACTTCGCTTTGTCCCCTAATGCAGCTGGAATCCATAAACCCAGAGGACGGCAGTGGTGGGCAGTCTCCACATGCAGTTATTCAGGTAGTTTGTCTTTTTCGATGTTGCTGTTTTATTTGTTTTATACAATCAAAATTGTATAATTCTGTGTATTTTTCTTCACTGTTAGCCTCCACCACCAATGCAAAAATCATCTCAATTTGAACAAACTAAGACCAGCGGTGCACAGCAGGTTCAACTGCAGTCAAAGGTAGCCCCACATTAAATATGAACCAATACCAAAGATGCCTTTATTGTACAATAGGCTAAACTTGATTGATAGTAAAGGCTCAACCCCATTAGTTAAAACTGTTAAATGTCTTCTTTAATTATTTTGTATTTCAGCCGCATATATCAACGGATTGTTCATCGCCTGCATCCCATGAAGAGCCAATGTCATCTAATGCCAAATCAGAGGTAATAACCCATATCAAATGTTTAAAGTAGTATTCAAAAGTTCATCATTTCAATGTTATTTGTCAGGGCAGTAGTAACAGTATGTTTGTGGTATGCGCTGTAAAAATGTGGCTCTTGATATTTCATATTGGGTCAGTTGCGTAATTAACTAACATTTTAGTCTGAAACTATTTTGTTCATTAATTAATTAATTAAAGCCGCAAAAAAAGAAAGAAAACATTATTAGAAAAGACTGACCAGTCATTTCTGGTTCTAGCATGCCAATTGTGAGGATAATGTTTTCCTAATATTATGGTCAATTGAATATCTTTTTATTTTTGACTATTCAAAGACATTGCATTGCTTTTTTCCAACTGGACAATCAATACATCTATTAAAGAATCAGCGTTTGCAAATACTTTTAAAAGTCTATATTGCTCAATTAACCAAGAGTGCTGGCCAATTATTTTTATTATACAAGCATAGACATATACCAAAAAGTAAGGGGCCCAAATACTTGACAGAAGTGTTCACTCAACTCCCTGTCAATCAAGTTAAGTTGCTTTGACTGCAGTAGACTGGCCCAATAAAATGATAAATATCAATTACATTTGCAATGTACTGTACATTATCAACACTATCAATGTTAACACCTGGCATTCTGCCTTTGGTGTTACATTTAGCTACTGGAACTAGCTGTAAGAAAAATGGAATGGAATTACAAAATATAGTAATAAAAGCTAAATACGCTTGAATAAGCTTAATTTTTGGCCTTCAAACTCTGCTAGTTATGTTTTTTTTGAAGAATATGAAGCTAGCAGGACATATATGACATAATGGACACATATGACATATGTCCTGCTGCGATATTATTTTATACTATAACATATGACATATATCTTGTTAAAGACACTAACGTTGAACTTTGAACCTACGGTCTAGTTCTGAAGCATCAGAGCATGCGGATAATATAACAAAAAATAATATATAGAACCTCTATGAAAGGCCAAAATATAAGTAAACAATATGAGTTTAAAAACAATTCTGATATACTTATATTTTCTGCAACCACAGATTGTCGATGACCTGATTTCCACTGATTTATTTTCTTCTTTTTTGTATTTCTTTTAAGGAAAACGAGTCAGCTGAGTCAGAGGTTGACAGTGACTCTGATTACTTGCCTGATAGTGATGCTGACTTCTTTGATTCCCCATTCCACTCTGAAGGGAGCTCTTCAGATGAATTCAGTCACATCAAACCCTCGACCCCCACAAACAAAAAACCTTCTCTGACAGAAAAAAAAGAAGATGAATCAGAAAGTTCTATGTCCGAGGACAACACTGACAGTGCCCCAAAACAGACTCCTGCAATTACTCAGAAAGAAAAGTCTTCTGACACTGTAGTGTTGCCATGTTCAAGTTCTAAAGGAAGACGTGTCTATGACAAGAGGAATTATTGTTTATACTGTGCTAAGCCAGTATTTAAATTGTCACGACATCTTGAAAGGAACCACAGTGACAAAAAAGAAGTCGCAGCTGCATTTCAATACCCCACAAAATCAAAAGAAAGACAAAGGATATGGAACAGATTAACAAATCTAGGAAACTTTGCTCATAATAAGGATGTCTTGAAATCAGGAAAGGGCCAACTTGCTGTCCGAAAAAGGCCGAGCCACACAAAAAAAGCCAAAGACTTTCTCCATTGCCTTCACTGTCGAGGTCTTTTTTTAAAGAAACCTATGTACAGACACATGAAAGTTTGCCCAGAGAGAGTGAAGAACGAGACTGTGTTTGGAAGAAAGAATATCGCATCTCGGTGTGCACTTCAAACTTTAGGAGACCTTAGCATTACTGATGGTTTTAGGAACATTCTGTCCGAAATGATATACGACGATGTGACGCAAACTGCCATGGAAGACGAAGTTCTCTTGCAGTTTGGCGAGCTCATGTTCACTCATCACGGAACTGATCCGAAAAAACACGAGTATATAAGACAATACCTTCGACAGTTAGCAAGACTTGTACTAGAAGCTAAAAAAATCACCCCTCTGGAGAAACTGAAGGACTTTTTTCTTCCTTCGTGCTTCCCACATGTGGTGTCTGCGGTAAAACGTCGTGGCAGGCTACAATGCGGAAAACAAAACATACAGCAATCCTTCACTTGCCATCAAGCTTGGCTACCACCTACAGAAGGCTTGTGGTATTGTTGAGGGGAACGCAGTAAAGTCTGGTGATGAGAGATCAGCAGAGTCCGCGAGAAACTTCCTCTCTCTGTACAAGAGAAAATGGAACAAGCATATTTCTGCAGGTGCATTAACAGCCATCAAGAAAACCAAACTGAAAAGGGCAAAGAAGGTGCCGTTTGCTCAAGATGTGATGCGCCTGAATATCCACGTGGAGAATGTTCATCTTCTTGCTGAAAAAAAACTCAGAGAAAGCCCTTGTACAGAAAACTATGCTGCTTTGGCCAATGTAATACTCTCCCGTACAATATTTTTCAACAGGAGAAGTGTTTTAGAGGTATCGTCAGTGGAACTAACAGCTTTTGAGTCGCGTCAAAAGTCAAACTTGCAAGACGGCATGGACATATCCGTTACCGATTTGGAAAGAAAAATGTGCAGGTTCTTTGTCAGAATCGACATACAAGGGAAGTGCGGCAGAACGGTTCCAGTTTTACTCAAACCATCACTTGAGTCAGCTATAGAGCTTCTCGTAAAGGTACGCGAGACATGTGGAGTCCCCAGTCAGAATCCTTACCTGTTTGGCCGACCCAATGCTCTGACTGCCTACGCCGGGGCACAGTGCATCCAGAAATACGTCAAAGAATGTGGCGCTAAAGACCCTGCAGCTCTGACATCCACAAAGATCCGGAAGCATTACGGGAAAATGCTACAGCTGATGAACCTGAATGAAGATGAGGCCGACCAGATTTTAGGCCCCAACAATCAAGTCCGCAGCCTTGGACAACAGCTGGATGACGTTGAAATCCATTCAGATGGTAGGGTTATTTCTTTTTTAAGATGATTATGTTTCCGATTACTTTAACGTCAATTAAATGTACCTTTTAAATGGAAATGTGTCATTGGCACCGGCAAATCTACTCGGAACATAAAGTTCAGACAAAATACATATATATTTTGCATTTATTCAAAGGATTTGAAAAGGAGTCAGTCTGTGGTTTATTGTGGTGTCAACAGCCTTTTGTGTTACCTGCAAGTGAATATCGCAAATCATTTTCATCACAGTAATTTGGAGCAAGCCACTTAAATGTATCGTAATGCAAAACCTGTCTATTATGCAGCAGTATTTAAGAATATGTGATTCACTGTTTTAATGACTTCTTACTTGATAATACAAAATAATCAGGAAATAATCTGGTGGATGTGATGTTTTAAACCTATATCTGAGCAATGTTCAAATCTATAACCTACTAAATATCTTTCTAAGTCAACCATTGCAATCTACAGTTCTATAATTAGGATACTTTAGTATAAAAGTGACTTTAAATCACATACAATCTGGATTATAGCTGAAGCTTGGTTGGAGGAGTTGGTTGCTTTAATGGATTTTGGGAATGGACACAACTGCAAAATGTGTCGATTTGGTATCGTAAGACGTACTATGAACACTTGATGTAATATGACTGAAAACAACACTGAGGAGCTGCACCTTTGGTCTTATTTCTCTGTTTTCTCTCTGTTGGAAATGTGTGTGTATAGGTAGTTAATCCTTCTTGTTTTTTCTTCAACACAGAGAGAGGACAACAAGCTGCATCATGGGATTACAATGAGCCTTCCGGTGCAGGCTGTGAGCCAACAAGCACCAACGTGACTGTAACTTCAAAATATTTCGAATCGGACAAAAAAGGTAAAATGGTGAACAATCATGATCGGTGATTCTATCAATTAATTGATTTAATATTGTTCCTCTTTGGTTTAGAATTTCTTATATAACAAAATAATCAAGGGGGGGTTAAGGCAACATAGGAGTTCTTACATATTGTCCATTCCATTGTCCAAGCTTAATTTGTTATCAAAACTTGACACACAAAAAGAAAAAATGGCCGGTGAAGATAAATAACATTTATAGAGTTGTGGATGTGGACAACAGTATGTAGAGTGCTTGTGTGAGAAACCAGTATTTTGTTATTTTGAAGAGTTTTCTGGAGTTATTTTGTAATGGCGAAAGTTTACTCATTTCTCTTTTAACCCACAGGATCCAAAATTAAGGGTAAACATAAATGGGAGGAAGCAGAGGTTCTTGCTGTTGAAAGACACATGATGCGGTTAATTAAAGAGCACAAGGTGCCTCAGAAGGACGAATGTGTTCAGTGTCTGGAAGCTGAGCCAGTACTGAGGACCCGTTCATGGAAAGGTGTAAAAGACTACGTCAGAAACAGGATCACTGCCCTAAAAAGGACCCCAAAACAGTAACTGATCTAGGCAAGTAGAACCACAGCAAAGTATTGGACATTTTCAACCTTTAGAAGTGGGTTATTTGGTCAATGGCCAAATCAAGCAATTTTGTTCCTGTTCCATTTGCTTATCCCTGCCACCCTCTGTTCCTCTTTGGTTTGTATGTGTTCAGCCACCATCGGCATGACATGGTGAGCGTTTACATCGGTTAGGATGACCAAGAATAGATTTACATTTCTATTTTTTCTATTTTTGTTAATTGTAATTCTCTTACTTTGTATCATTATAGGTTGTCATGTGTTCTGTTTCATGTTATTAAGTTCATTTGGAAAGAGACAGATCATGGATATTGACAAATAAGGAAAATAATGAGCTGGTTAGTAAGTTAACTTCGGTGACCAGGTTATCTTGTATACTGTATTTTGTTATTCTCTTTGGTATGCTGGTATACTGTATTTTGTCAACTGTGCATATCAACCTTTCAATAAACTAAAGTTTATGTGTGAAAAAACAGTTTGTACTCTATTCCACTCACAACATAATACACACAGTATGTTATCGATGTGTCCAACACTGTCAGGCCTACTGTATCTTTGTCCATGTATGTAGAAATGACAATCATATAGGCATTGGTGGAGGAAGAAGTATTCAGAACCACAAAACAAGTGGCTGCAGAAGAAAAGTCACACATTCAAAGTCTTAATAATGTGAAAAGAAATGAGAGTATTAGAAAACACAACACTAAATATTTCATAAATCAGACATTCATGTTATTGTGGTGCCACAATACATTTGCTGATTCTTATTAATAATAAAATATTAGCACCATTTTTATGCGCCAGAGTAATATATTTACTTGGTAATATAAGGTTTTCTAATATTTCGTTTTTTATTTCAAATTATGCATTTATTGTATCCCATGTATTTTACTTTGAAAGGAAACGCGGAAATGGGATGTTGTGATCCGTGCTAACTTGACGCTAACATTGCAGCAAAGGCTCGGTTTCATGAATGTTGTCTAAATTAATCCTCTCACATTTTGTGGTCATTGAATATAATTTTAATACATTTCACATATGTTAAACTGCTGAAGTGTTTCGTTTCCGTCGCAGAGGGGGAGATGAAGACGCTAACGGTCACGTTAGTAATGTGGACGAACAAGTGCTGCACGCAAAGCCCCTTGTTTCCGCTGATGTCCAAAGGTATCTAATATTGTATTACTTCAAATAACATTGCTCCTTCAGGTCACATATCTTAATTCACCCTGCACATTTAAGGATGCACCTCTGTTATGTGTCAATATTGTTTGCTTACTACAGAAGAACCTCAGTCAATTCCTCTAGTAGGCTAACGTTATTCATATCAACGATTGCTTCACAGTGGTAGTTTTACAGGGGAAACGTTAGGTACATTTTGTTAGGAAGTTTTCAAAGATGTAACATTATCTCTCAAAATAGCTGCATTTTGCTTGTTGATTAGAAATCTATCTGATTTAGCTAACTGTCAATAAAACATGTTGGCCTCAGAGAAGAGATCCGCGAGTCGCATCACGACGCTGCAGGTTTGTTTTGCCCCGCTAGATCCCGCCTCCAAGGAGTCAAACACCTATCAGTGATGGTAATGAAGGATGATGGACGTCCCTACAGCCAATCAGAGCGATACACCCTGTCAGCCGTGGGCGGGCCAGAACGGCTGGTCCCCAGCTTCACCTCAAGGACCTCCCTGCAACCCTCTGCCCAGCTTTCAGAATCTCAGCCTGAGCTCTCCTTCTGACCAGAGGCCTGGCTACGAGCAGCTGCAGGTGTCCAACCACGGCTACCAGAGCGAACTTGCAACCTTTTCATCCAGAAACAACACCGAACACAGCACGCTTTATGCTAATAATGCTGACCAAAGTGTTCAGCGGGTCACTCCTGATGCTCATGCTTCATCCATGGTTCCATCTGCAAGCCAAGGAAGATATATACCTCCATGTTCTCTCGCTCTTATGAAGGAAGGGATGCATCCCTGCAAGCCCCAACAAATGCCCTTTTACTCCCCTCACAGCCCTTACCAAGGAATATCTTCCCCTTTACAGCCCCCATACACTCACCATTGTTCATTAAATGGACCTCAGTCACCCCAACAAAAACATTTGCCCATTACCACTTTATCATTTGGTGTAAATCAGAGTCCACAGTTTACACATCAGCCTGCATTTGAGAGGGCCAATGTGGAATCCTCTGTTGGATACACACACAATCATTCCTCGCCTCAGTGGACTCTCACAACAAACTCAAGAGGTAAGTCTATTGTATTGTGGTTGACTTACTAACATGCATGTTGCAAAGCCACCCTCAGGAGCAGATCCTTTAAATTAAATGACTTGCAGAATTACTCACGAACCATTCTTAAATATACAACATGTAGACTAGAAGGAAAAATAAAGTTTGATAATTCACAAGTAGATCCTTATAGACCTGCTGATTAGTCCAATCATCCAGGGTTTACAGTACACCACCTAACCCTAACCCAACCCTAACTTAACTACTGATCAATAAATACTGTTTTCTAAAGTCTGAGCTAAAACAGCCTACCTAATTAAGGATATCATTTAATTTTAGAATTACATAACTCCTCTGTTTTCTCCTAAGGGACCACAGACGAGTTTGTTCCCAATGCGGCTGCACAGGACAGGAACATCACTCCACAGGTAGGGAAAATACAGTCACACCATTCAAACTCTTTAATGAAGTATGAGTGCCAGCTCAATTGAGTATCTGTGGAGACATCTGCAGATTATTGTCTTAAATGAATCTATGTATTATTTGGCCAAGACTCCAAATCCAACAGTTATTCAGTTTACACTGCAAAAACAAACCGAGACAGGTAGCAGATCTCCATATTGGAAAAGCAAAACCAGATTATTATTGTTGTTTAACAAAACTGTTGATTTATTTTGTCAGGCAACTAATAGATCAGTTTATCATTCGACTATTTCAGCTTTCAGAGAGATTCTCCATTCAACTTCAAAGGTGTTAAAGCAGCTTCTGGCCATGTACCTTGCAATAACAGCTACATGTTGTTCAGTTATGCATTGGTGTTGCATGGAAATATCCCTAAGTATACAATTTAGATAGTTAGATAATTTCCCATGGAGCCCCTAGACTTTATTGCTTCAATCATATTGTATATAAAGTCTAGAATCTCACCAAATTTGACGTCTATGTGTTATTATAAATTAGTATTCAATACTAATTGTTTTTTCCCCTCCAGTCTCCCAGCTCTGAGTCTCGTTATGGTCTGGACCCAGAGCTCCTGCCCAGTGTTGTGAGTTATTTTATCCTCTCTCGTCACCTTCTTTCTTTACCGTTCTTCTGCGGCTCCTGTAGGGCTGGGCAATGTGAAGAGAGTACGACAATATCGATATTGTGAATATATTGTAGGGTTAGACCCATGCTGTTTAAACGCTGGTAAATTCAGAAAATGACATCAATTTAACACTTACGATTTCCTAAATCTCAGAGGATATCTAGTTTCTTATCAACCAATGGATATTATATTGATACTGTATATTGCCTAATCCTTAGCTCCTCTGACAATGTCAAACTATTAAGGGATACACCAAACCCCAAGGAAGTGTGGTGGGCATTGAAGTAAATTTGCCTACATCACTACGTTCTAGTCAATGACGTCATTTGGTCCCAAAAATACTTTTTTCCCATTGATTTAAATTGGGAGATAGACATGTAAATATGTGTATAATTTGTTTGTTGAGCTAAATCAACAACCCAGTATGAACACTTTTATAGCACATAATCAAATCATTATGGTGCTCTATTGACCTCAGTCCCTGAATGATCCAGATACTTTTTCTTATCTGATGTCAGTCCATTTTTGGCTTCATGCAAACTGAGCAACTTGGCTACACACACTGGCAGCATGATGAAGCTGCTGATGTGTGCTTCACTTTATGGTACATCTTTAAGAAAAAAACGCAAATAAAGAGTCCAATACTTGACTTCTAACTTTTTCCAATCATTATTATTTTTAACTTAAAGTAAGAGCCGCAAAACTACTACTTGTAAGATGTTTTATAAAAGATCCTGCCCCTGTTTAACCGTAGTGATCTGTATTCACAGTCTTGCAGGTTGATAAGGTTGCACCCCTGTCTCTTTCTCTCTCTGTTTCCCAGGTGAAGGTGATCGCAGATGACAGTGCAGAGTGGGAGGGCAAGGTCTTCGTCTCAGAGCCCTTTTCCCGTCTCCCTCCTCTGGCAACTACCTCCTGTATCATAGAGGACAGAGGTAAACACACACAACACTGTATCTTTGTTGTTTTTTACCCTGTAAAAATGGCTTCCTAATCTGGCATCCACATCACTGAAATGTAACCTACTTTGCACAGAGAATTTTCTGTAGAAGTTATACCATGTATTATTGATGGAGGCGACTAGAAAAAAATCTGAACATAAACATATTTAATTGAAGAAAAATGGGACCAACCTTGGAAAACATCTAGTGTATGAAACGGTTTGTAATAGTTGTAATAGTGTGTGCTCACTATACTAATTAATGCATCAGTGTTTCTTAGGGTCATAAACACTAAACTCACAACTTAAAATGAAAGCGTTTAGTTTATTTAATAAAAGAGCACTTGTTCAATGTGAAAAGTGACAGTAGATATAGATTAGTTGCAATTTGGTGCTATATATATATATATTCAAAAAAAATTATAAAAGAAAAAAAATTATAAATGATTTTTAACACCTTGAATTTCAGGAGGGGCGCGGGGCTCCGTTGGCGGGGCGCAGCGCCCCTCCAAGACAATGGTAGGGGAAACACTGATTCCAGTTATCAGAAATATTTTGGACATACTGATGAAAGGATTATGACAATAATATCTGCAGGTAGTTAAATTAGTTTTAATTTAATTTTAAAGTCATTATAGCGTATGTTTTTTTGTGAAGGACTCCGATTTAGTTGTGAATTACAAATATGATAGTTTAATGTTTGGGCGTTTTCCCCATTCACCTCTTCCTGTCTCCATTTTGTGTGTCTAAACCAACCTTCATGTAATTCTGGACCGTGTCTCTGTTGATCTCTAGGTAACGCGAGTCCTTTAGCCATCCGCTCTGCGTCGTACTGTATGCCCTGTGATGCTCAGACTGCTCTGCTCAGCCGTCTGCCGCTGGGAGCTCTGGTCACCCCTCTAGCCAAGCAAAATGATGGAGAGGTCAGTGTCTAGCTAATCTGCTTTTTCTAATAATCTCTTAAAAAAAATATAGGAAAAATAACGGCAATCATAGTTACTCATAATTATATCTAGAGAAATGTGAAGCTCATGCCACAATTGACATATGTGAAGCTTCTGTGAAGGTTAACATATGTTTTTAATGTGTTTGTGTGTGTGTGTGTCTGTGTGGCCTAGCATTACTATAGTTGTGGGGACCTAAATCTGTTTACACAGTCACGTGTGGGGACTCGCCTCCCTTATGGGGACAAATTGGAGGTCCCCATGAGGGGAATCATT